TGAATCTCTTTAAAAACTTTTTTATGCTTTCTAAGGTAGTCTTGCTTTTAAAAAAGATTTATGATAGAAACTTTATTGAACTTTGAGAATTTGAACAGTTCAAGCTAGGAACGACAATAGTAAGCAAGAAATTTTTTTAATTGGGATTTAGCGCATTCCCTGTAGGATCCATACTTAGAACACTATTCTAGGTAATACTAATATAAAATGTATACTTGCATGAGTCGCCAATGTTTTGCCGCATTTAGTTCACATTAAATGACTATGTTTAAGAAAAGCTTGAGACATTTTCTCACCTGCTACATCAACTTTAGTTGATTATGTAGTCATATTATCAAGTTCCCAAACTTATACGGTCTCGGGCACAAAAATTTTGATAACCAAGTTCTTTAGGAACCCCAAAGTTCCTTTTTACTAAAAGTGCTTGGAACAAATAGAGCCCCCGAAGAGTAGGCGCCATGACTGTAGCAAGTAGGCAACACTCGTTTGACACCTAAGCACTGTGACTGTAGCGAGTAGGTGCCACACCTCGGTGGCTAGGTGCTTGATACCCTAGATCCAGAATTGGTGCCTTGCGCCTAGGCGACGTGCAACTAGTGGCTAAGCATTATTTTTTGCAAATTCATGATCTTGCACTTGGGACGCTTCTTTTTGTTGGGAGAAGCATAAAAATGTTGAGAACAAAGTAAGAGTGGTCTTTTCGGCCATTTTTGAGAGTAGAACTCTGAAGAAGAAGACTAAGGAAGTCTTTACAAATTGTTTTGAAGAGAAGAAATGAAGTGTCGAGAGAATTAAATAGTGTAAACATTGCTTGTTTTCATTTCAACGTTTCTGCTTTGATAGAACAGGCGTTAAGTACACTTCAATTTGAGTTATTTCTTGGAATTTTGTGTAAGACTTGGTGTATGATTTATTTTCTTAAATCAAAGTTTGTTTTGTTGAGTTTACGATGGGCAGTGAGTAATTTCCTTTGTTTCTTTTTTGGATTGGAAAAGTGGTAGGATAAAAATGAGATTTTCCTTATGATTAGTATTTAAACTCTCTTAAATATGTTGTTTTAACCTTTAATCTTAACTTTCATTCCACATGGTCGTGAACTCTGATATCCAAGAGAATAATAAGTAGAGCGAAAAGGGTTAACCATATAAACTCATTGGAATAGAGATATAGCATTTGAGTTTAATCAATCAATAGAGATATATTTTTTGCTTGGGCTGATCATCAGATTTAAGGAACTAAACCCGCGGTAAACAATAGTTCATTGACTTCCTGAAAAGGGAAAGAAAGAGTTAGCTCCTGATTGACACCGGGCTTTGATCATTTCCTCACTTTTATTCACCACTAGACCAATGCAAGGTAAAAAATCTTTCGAATCATGAATCTCTTTAAAAACTTTTTTATGCTTTCTAAGGTAGTCTTGCTTTTAAAAAAGATTTATGATAGAAACTTTATTGAACTTTGAGAATTTGAACAGTTCAAGCTAGGAACGACAATAGTAAGCAAGAAATTTTTTTAATTGGGATTTAGCGCATTCCCTGTAGGATCCATACTTAGAACACTATTCTAGGTAATACTAATATAAAATGTATACTTGCATGAGTCGCCAATGTTTTGCCGCATTTAGTTCACATTAAATGACTATGTTTAAGAAAAGCTTGAGACATTTTCTCACCTGCTACATCAACTTTAGTTGATTATGTAGTCATATTATCAAGTTCCCAAACTTATACGGTCTCGGGCACAAAAATTTTGATAACCAAGTTCTTTAGGAACCCCAAAGTTCCTTTTTACTAAAAGTGCTTGGAACAATTTTTAGTGAATTCATTATTAAAAGTAACATCAGAAGTGGGTCGAATTTTAAAAATTGATCACTTAATAAATAAATTCATGATAAGACAATTCTTATGAATATCATTGCTTTAAGACCCATTCATATAACAACTTTGTAAAGATAAATAAGAAAAATATGATGATAAACCACAAAGAAACACCTAGTGAGCAGATTTCACTTCAGTACTATCCTCTCAAGATGTATTTAACAGTTCATTTATAGTAAATCCAATGATAGCCTTACCTCGCAACATGCACATCTTTCTCAAAAAAAGTCCTCCATTTCGTGAAATCATGAGTTGTTATCTTAAATATAGAATGATTAAGAAAAGTTGCATAATCAATCAAAGTCCCAAATCTGACATCATCCTTGTCTCGACAAGTTCATACTTTATTTTTTTTCAAGATAATTGCTATAATAATGTGTTTTGATATGTATCATTTTCTGAATAATTTTCTCCAAAAATCTTTTGTAAGAAAATAAGAAATAAGTTTTTGACTCGAGTAGTTGTCGGTTCAAGTTCATCTAAGCACTCCATATTTGCTAAGGAAGACATTACATGGCAAAGAAGTTAGTGAATAAAGAGAATAAGAAAGGAAATGACTTAAAAATAGGCTCATTTGGGTCAATATTTATATGTTTTTCCATCATTAATGTTAAAAATCACCCAATCACCACAATCAATACACCAACTCATAAGTGATTGAATAAAGATTATAAAGTTTATTTATTACATTTATTATGATATCTTCAAGAAAAAAAAAAAAGAAAATTAATATATATCCAATGTCGCTTGTACCAATTTAATGAAGTCTCAATTCTTTTATGAATTGAGTTCAAGCAAGCTACCGAGCAATTAAATAAAATTGTAACAAATATGGCTGTCAAAATGGTTAGTTGTTCGCGAACAATACCTGTTGGGCTCGTTACGAGGCTTGTGTTCGACTTGTTTGCTAAGTTAACGAGCTGAATATGAATATTTTTTTGTGCTTGATATATAAATAAGCCGAACAAGAGCAAATATTTGTTCATTCGTGTTCAACGCGTTTTGGCTCGTAGTATTTTTAATAAATTCAATTAACTACAAGGCTACAACATTTATAATCAAATAAAATTATTAATTAAAAAAATAGAATAAAAATTATTAAGTTAGGTTTAAATGATGTTTTAATATAAATAATAATATTTAAATATTGCTCTAACCCTAGACATCCTAAGACTGCGTGATTAGGGTTGTCAAAATGACTTTTTATTCGCGAACAGCTCTTGTTCCGCTGGCTAAACAAACAAACCAAACACAAACACACTTTTTGTGTTCTAAATACAAACAAACTGGACACGAACAGTGATATTTTTAAACGAGCTGAACATGAGCTGAGCCTAGGCGTGTTTGGCTCGTTTACACCACTAGTAACAAAGTTGAAGTTTCCCAGAGATATGATGAACCTGCCAACAAAATTGTTAATTGTTTCAAGCCATCAAAGCTTTTCATTTTACCATTTCGGTACTCAACCATCATCTTCAACAATTTAACATGGCTAATCATTTACTTGGCTCCAACATTAATGAAAGCCGCCCATGTATTTAGACATTAAAGTTGTTCAAACATCCAAAGCTACTCACCAGATCATGAGGAAAGCCTCTGAGTTGTTCAAACATCCAAAGCTACTCACCAGATCATCTACAGACGTAATCAAAGTTGCATTGTTCTCAAAGATCACATCAGTTACCTATAGCTCATAAAACATAAGGGATAATTACATGCATATCACCCTAAACATTAATATTTATAAATGAAGCATTTAGACTATTTTTTTGAACTACCGAATCAATGTATTTATGCGTGTCATAATCAAACTAGTGATAATTTGATAAAAATGTAAAATATGATTTAGAATATTACCATGAATTTTGATATTTGAGCGAGAATTTGTAAATTGGATAGAGGAGGATGGCTGATTTGTAAATTACAAATTTTCAAGACATATATATGTTATCGCACTTGAGTTTATGTATTTATTTATATGTTGAGTCGAAAATTTATTCAATTCAACATTAATTGGAACGAATTTCATATTCATTAAAACTGCTTTAGATAAACAAAATATAGTGAATGAACAGTAATTTGTTATTGTTCTTAAAATAGGCAATTATATATAGAACACATGAAATATTATAATTTACAAATCAAACATTCTCTTTCATCAATTTTTTAAATTTTTACTCGAATATAAAATATCATGATAAAAGCTCAAACTCATTTTTTAACATTTTTATCAAATTCTCACTAATTTAATTTTGACATATATAAATGTATATAGGGGTATAAACGAGCCAAACACGAGCGAGCCCAGATTCAGCTCGTGTTCGGCTCGTTTATATTTCGAGCTCAAAAAGTGTGCTCATGTTCGACCCGTTTGCTTAGTGCGTCATAATCCATGAGTTTTTCACAAACAAATAATTGTTTTGACAACCCTAATCATGAAGCCATAAGATGTTAAGGGTTGGGACAATATTTAGAAATTATTATTTATATTAAAACATCATTTGAATCTAATTTAATATTTTTTATTCTATTTTCTTAATTAATACTTTTAATTGATTAAAAATCTTCGTAGCCTTGTAGTGAATTAAAATTTTTAAAAATACCATCAATAAATATTTCTATATAATTGATGAGTAGCATTTTCAGCCAAAACGAGCTGAACACGAACGAACAAATTTTTGTTCGTGTTGGACTCATTAACTTAGGGAACGAGCCGAACTCGAGTTTCTTCACAAACCGAACACGAACTTCTTCACGAGCCGAACAAGAGTTGTTGGCGAATAATGAGCGGTTTTGACAGCCCTAAATATATATAGCACAAAAAATTATTTAAATTGATCTATAAATATACTTCTAAAATAAAATAATTGAAATATAAATTTCATTTTAGTTGCAATTTGTGTGAATATCTTTTTCCAAAAAATAAAAATTTTGTGAGAATATTTTCCGAAATTTCTAGTAGTGTCGCGGTATCATGCTCCGCACTACACCTTTCCCGCTTCATCTTCTTCTCTGACTTTGGAGGGGACAGGGACTGCTTTGTAGAATCCTCACAGAAATCCGAAGCTAACAAACCTCATTTATCTCATTTTTGGCAGTGGTAGCATCGATTCCTTATAAACCGTGCGATGCCCTCCCAATTTCGCTTTTCTCCTCGTCCTCTACCTCTTACACAAACGCTACTGCTACTGCTCCGGCCGATCAGTTTCCAGGGCGGCGATGTTCGGGGATTGTGGACTTGGATTGCCTTCTTTTGGTCGTCACCGCCGCCTACGGGATGGATCTAACGAAGCCGACAGGGAACCCGTGCTTCTTGTTTCCGGCATTGGGGGTTCCATCTTGAACTCGAGGCAGAAGAAGAACGGATCCCTTCTTCGAGTTTGGGTGCGGATTCTATTTTCAAATTACGAGTTCAAGAAGTGCCTCTGGTCTATCTACAACAAGAAGACAGGCGAGTTTCTCTTTAGTTATTGGCGTTACTTGTTAAAACCAGGGCTTTCAATTGATGATTACTTTCTTGGCCTAGGGCAGGTTACACGGAGACGCTTAATCCGGATATTGATGTTGTAGTTCCCGAAGATGATTACGGGCTTTATGCAATTGACATTCTTGATCCTTCTTGGGTAAGCTGTATTAGTTTTTGAAGCTACTTCGTCTTTGTTCCTATAGTTACTTTTAGACGTTGGTTTAGTTTTCTTTATTTCAGTCAATATCAATACTATATTGCAGCATCTGTCGGTGGATTTTTGGGGCGGTAAGGGCGTAGGGTAGAGTTTGCTACGTAAGCTGTCGATTGGATTGTGACATGAAACGTTACGCCTTATTTTTTTGTTTCTTTATTGATCCCACATCATTGTTTAAATTGTATCTTTTTACTGGTTGAGATGCTTAAAAAAAGTCCATTTCTTTTTGAAGTGTTTAAAGGGTTGGTAGGCGCAAATCTTTTTTTAGTAGTAGGGAGAATCATTATGGCAAAGATTAGGTTGGAGTTCAAATTTTAGATATTTTTTGAAGTGTTTAAAGAGTTGGTAGGATTTGTTAGGTGGTGGTTATGAATTTTAAATTTAAAGAGGGAGTTTTGATGTGTGGGGGATGGGAAGGTTAGGAGGGGGGCACAATTCTTTTCTTAGTAGTAGGGAACGGAAAGAGTCATTATGACTAAGATTAGGTTGAAGTTAAAATTTTAGTTATTTTTAAGTGTTCAAGGAGTTAGTAGGATTTGTTTGGTGGTGGCTATGAATTTTAAATGTAAAGAGGCAATTTTGGAGAAAATTTAATGAATATGGATGAAGGTTTTGTGAAATTCAAATTTAAGAGGAAAATAAAAGTGTTTTTTGTGAAAATTAGGTGGGTGTGTTGGAGGGTAAACAATTTGATTGGGTGGAATATGACATGTAAAAATTGAGAAAGAGGGGATTTATGTTTTGTAGTTGGTTGAAGAGGGATTATAAATTAGTCTTTGGTTTATTTGTTGATTAGATTTTAAACTTATGAGATCAGTTTGATTTCTTGGAAATTCATTATGATCCCTCAAATTTGTATGGGGCTTGCACATAGAAGATGAGGAAATAAGGAGTTGAAGCGATGATCATAACACATTTTAAAGTGAAATTAGTCATTATGGAGAACAGGATTTACGAACATCGACTTTGATATCAAATTGATATACAATGGAACAATTTAAGTGATGATTGCGATGGGCTTCAACGCCTTATTTTGATGTAGAAGAATTGGGGAGTAAATAGAATATTAGGATCAAGAAGATTAGGACCAACAAGATTAGAAGAATGCCTTAAACAAAGGTAGGAATTAGAGGGAAAGAAAGCTTAAAGAATATTGCTATAAGGAGAATTTTTTTCTTAGTAGTAGAGAAAGAATCATTATGGCTAAGATTAGGTTGGAGTTCAAATTTTAGATATTTTTGAACTGTTTAAAGAGTTGGTAGGATTTGTGAGGTGGTGGCTATGAGGTGGCTATGAATTTCAAATTTAAAGAGGCAGTTTTGGTGTGTGGGGGATGAGAAGGTTAGGAGGGGGGCACAATTTTATTATGGCTAAGATTAGGTTGACGTTCAAATTTTAGTTATTTTTAAGTGCTTAAGGAGTTGGTAGGATTTGCTAGGTGGTGGCTATGAATTTTAAATTTAACAGACAATTTTGGTGAAAAATTATTGAATATGGATGAAGATTTTGTGAAATTTAATTTTAAGAGAAAAATATAAGTGTTTTTTTGTGAAACTTAGGTGGGTGTGTTGGAGGGTAAATAATTTGATTGGGTGGTATATGACATGTAAAAATTGAGAAAGAGGGGATTTATGTTATTTAATTGGTTAAAGAGGGATTATAGATCAGTCTTGGGTTTATTTGTTGGTTAGATTTTGGACTTATAAAATACGTGATTTCTTGGAAATTCATTATGATCCCTAAAATTTGTATTGGGCTTACACATAGAAGATGAACAAATAAGGAGTTGAAGCCATGATCACAACACATTTTAAAGTGAATTTAGTCATTATGGATAACAGGATTTACGAACATCGACTTTGATATCAAATTGATATAGAGTGGAACAATATAAGTGATGATTGCGATGGGCTTCAACACCTTATTTTGATGTAGAAGAATTGGCGAGTAAAGAGAAAATTAGGATCAAGAAGATTAGGACCAAGAAGATTAGAAGAATGCTATAAACAAAGGTAGGAACTAGAGGGAAAGAAAGCTTAAAGAATATTGCTATAAGGATAATTCTTTTCTTAGTAGTAGGGAAAGCATCATTTGGCTAAGATTAGGTTGGAGTTCAAATTTTAGATATTTTTTAAGTGTTTAAAGAGTTGGTAGAATTTGTGAGGTAGTGACTATGAATTTCAAATTTAAAGAGGCCGTTTTGGTGTGTGGGGTATGGAAAGGTTAGGAGGGGGCACAATTCTTTTCTTAGTAGTAGGG